ACATGTATCCAAGTCTCCTCTTTCTAATGGTGAAAACCGCAGGTCTCTATCTATCTTCTACCAAAAGTTATTCAAAAAGTGGCACTGTCTCTTGTATTTTGGTATGGATAGTAGTCATAGATAATGCTGATGCTAGAATTTTGAACAATTTTTTGTCACATTGACTTCTTATAACGGACAGCTAAAAAATACACTGTGAACTATTTTATGTTAACATTACTTCATGGTATGATGTAGTGTCGAAAGTAGTAGTCACGTCGGATGCTTTTGCAATGATAGATGAAAGAAAATGAAGTGTATAAAAACGTTGTGCAGATCAGTACGATACTTATTCGTACATGTACGAATAAATTTCGTACTGATCTGTATTGGAGTTAGGACTGACCTACTGCATCTTTCCAGAAGCGCTTTAACTATTTTTAACCAGTAGTATGCGTCTATAACTTACACGATCCACGAGTGCGTGTAGAACGTGGAAGTACGTGTAGAACGTGGACGTGCGTGTAGAAACGTAAGAAATCAATGTTAAAGTCGTTCTTTCTCAATATCTGTCATATTCATATCTCACATTTTGTGCAAGGTCGTTGTATACATCACTTTGATGTTTATCAAGATCATTCTAGATATCCAGTCTTTCAAATGTGCTTGTTTTACCTTCACTTTTGTATAACTTTGCATATGCATAGCCCCCTTTCATTTATATTATTACTTTATGTTATTTTATCTCTACAATACCATGATAACTGGGTATGAGACAGGCAGCAGAGCCCTTAGGCTTGGGAGGCTCAGACCTCCCCTAAAATAGGAAGAGGAAGGCTTGCGGTGGCTCGGATGCCCTAGACAGAAAAAATTTGTGAAATCCTATAAGAATCTTATAAGATCTTCCACGAAAGTGACAAGAATTCTGCTGAATCTTATGACAATTTCACAAGAATTTATAAGAAATTGGTAAGAGTCAGCAAAACTCGTACGTTATTCTTATCAGATTCTTATAAGATTCTTGCAACATTCTTATGAGAAACATGATCGAATCTCCTCCAGAAAAATCCCAATATAGTACTGAAAAAAGTCCGGCACTACCAGTGCGGACGGCTTGCTATGTTGCACCGGTAAGTGCTAGTTCCACATTTTCTTATATAAGAATCGATGACTAGGGTATCTGATTTTCTTTCATCGTTTGAAAAATAGTTTTTGAGCTCCCCTATGTTAGAATCGTTCCGTCGCCTATGGTAAGAGAGCAAAAAACAGCGTAAAAAGTGGAAAAACGATCGGATTAAATTTCTTAAGGATAATAGTTAGTAAAAATTGTGAGAACAATCTGTTGTTCTGTTTTTAGTCCATTGACAAGCGAGTTAAATACTGAAAACTGAATATAGACTATAATGTAAAAATCGGTTGTCCTCACTTAAATAAATTCAGATTAGATGAAACTGAGTATCTTTTTGTTTTCTATTTCAGATCTGTTTATCTTTTTATTTTTTTATTTTATTCCAAAAAATGTAAAAAGAACATAATAAGTAAAAAAAGTTTCGAGACGAGAATGGCTCAAAAAAACAGTATTTTCAAAACATATCATTCATACAACTATCGTTATCATCATCCCACACATCGACGTCCTTCCGTAACGTCTTTGTCACCATCGTCTTGTCATTCGAAATCATCTCATTATTTACCTCATCATTTGTCAGCACGTTCCTCTCATCGTTCCCGTCATTCATCTCATCTACATTCGCCACAAAAGCCTTTTAGACCACCACCAAATGTATCTTCATTAGAAAATCAACCGTATTATCATGTAATCGATAAGTATTCAGATAAAGATTTGGGACTGGAATATTTATGGGATAAAACTGTATTTGTTAGCAATATTCCTGCTGATGTAGGTTATACAATAATACGACGTCTGTTTGCTGAAAAAGTTGGTCGAGTTATTTCAATGGAAATTTATAGAAAAAATGGTCGATCACTCCATTGTGGAACAGTTGAATTGCGTAGTGTTGAATATGCTAAAGAGGCAGTCAGAAGATTAGATGAGTATGAGTATCATGGGAAAAAATTATCAGTTAAAATGGATACTGATGGTTTTCGTACTCGTCGTGTAAAATATTATTGTGTAAAAGATAGCTTAAGATTACAATCGGAATACAAACGCGAACATGCAACAACTGCTTCAACATCTACATGCCCTGTGTCCTTTGGTTCTTCTTCAATAACAAGCATACCGACTGCACATGAACTAAAGGGTGTTATTGTTGCATTGAGTACAGACGATAATGGAAATCAGAAGCGAATTGTCCATGAAAAGAAGTATCGAACTGAAAAGGATGATAAACAACAACAGCAACAACAATTACAGCATAAAACAAGTACTGACACGTCACCAGCGTCGTTGATCCACCAACATGTTCATAAAAATGGGCGACCTGTTTCGGGTAGGTTCTAGTTACATTTTTTTTAAAAAGTTAATGTAAATATATGAGAATACTTTTTTCCAAATCAAATTGTCTCGGCTAACGTATGTAGCAACCCTATTAATTGAAGCAGGGCTACGTTAAGAAACTTTTTGTTATGCATTTGTCATAAAAAAATAATTGTTCTTAACCAAGTTTTTTTTAAGATTTTGTTACGCAAAAGCATGTCATTTTCATGATTCTTTTTCATTTTGTTCTTTAGATCGTTCCGACAATCGACATCAACATCGTTACTCGCATTCTATTGATGTGAGTGAACATCATTATCGACAGCAATCACCTGAAGAATGTAATAGGAAAATATTCATTAAGAATGTATGTTGTACGGTTATACACTCTGTGAAGGTATATGATGCAACATATAAATCTTTTTTTTTACATTGCTTTAGCTTCCCTGTCACTGTTCGGAGAAGAAATTATATGACATATATTCTATGGCTGGTCGTATCCATCGTATTAAAATGTTTAAAGAACGCAACGGAGAATTTCGTGGTCGTGCAACGGTTTTGTTTGATAAACACCATCAAGCACAGAAAGCTATTAGGATGTTCAACGGCCAAATGTTATATGGAAGAGTAATGAATGTTTGTTTTGATTGGGATATACTGCAAGAGCATTACAAAGCACAGAAAGAGAAAAAAATTTTTTTAGAACATCAGCAACAAAATTATGTTGAACAATCAATACATTATGAACAACAACACCAACATATACAAGAAAAATATTTGTCATGTAAGTTAAATTGCTCACATTGCTCGTCTGGAGCAGTGGTACATCATCTTCTGTTTTTATTTCAGATAGAGCAGATTCTCGTAGAAATAGTGTTCATCATTATAATTCAGTAGAAGAAAAACATCTTATGTCTCGTTCACCTTCGCCTTTCCCATCATCAACGGAAATATATAGACGAAAGCGAACATATAGTCAAATGTCAAGTGCGTCATAAAAGATACCTTCAAATTAAACTTTTTGTTTTATATTTCTCTTTCCAGATAATAATGAATTACTCTATATTATACGTCCAAATTATACGCAGATAAATGAAACAACATTCAAACAATCAGACGAAGGTAAATTCATAATTTCAATGAATTTATTTCTCTTCACAACAATGAACTCGTAATATTATGCACTTTTTGTTACGAAATAAGTACTTCTATTTTTTCAAGCGCGTAACAAGTTTGACTCTATTTATACTGACTCATTTTTCTGTTAATTAGATGATCTGATGTATGATACTCATCCTTCATCGTCTGTCTACCATCATGATACTGCTCAACCAACCGTTACATCACAATATCAGCATCATTATTCTAGTACACTGTCAAATGATCATTCATCACTACGTTCTATCGTCCAAAATTATTTTCATAATGATAAAAGTGATAACACTCAGGGATCCATTAAGCAAGATAATCAAAATGAAACAAACCGAGGTAAATAAGTTAAATTCATTTTTGCACTGTTAACCCTTTCGGGATCGGATTATTTTTTCGAAAAAGAAGAGAAAACCGCCGGATAGAACCGCAAATCTGCCACCACTGAAATTTTTTTGACATAGCCAGCGTGAAAGAGCGCATTTTTCTACATAGGTTTCCACAATTGGTATAGCGTTTTATTGAAATTGTCCTAGTAGAAATGGGAGAGTTTCGAAGGGTCCGATACTTGTCCACTGAGGTCACTGTATAGTGTTTTTGAAATATATGATGCGCTTTAACTTTTCGCGATGGTTAATCCTATGGTTGGATGCAGCTTTCTTTCCTTTACAAAACCTCGTTAGGCACTTAATATCTATCACCTCTATCTGTAAAAATCATAGGCTTCACAAAGCTTTACAAAATCGAATTTTCTTAAAATTCAATTTTTTGCTTCATTGTAGTCCAATTATCTCTGCGAAAAAAATTCAGTGTTGACTGAAAGTTTATGAAAAACTTCATCCTGTTTCGCTCTACAAAATTCACAAATTGAAAAAAATTAATAAACTTAAATAAAAGTTGGAAAGAAATAATTAACCATTTCTGGACCGGTGACGTTTTAAAACGTCATCGGTCCCGAAAGGGTTAATGAGTGCAACCTTGCCAGTTATTCGTTTTCTTAAGTCTCTCACCCGGAGTTACACAACTGATTATTTGTAAGAATTCAATGATGCTTCGTAACTCAACTGTCTTTTTTTACTTCAGAAATTCTATCGCCATTGTTAAATAGTGAACAGTATGATGATTTACTGGTTTTACTCGCTTTATCTCAATTACCATCGGATATTCTAACGGATTTAGTAGAAAAATTACTTCGTCATATTGAAGAGAAAGATAAATCCGTTGAAGAAGAAATAAACGTGAAGTCATCTACGCCAAATCAGCCAAACCAGCAATCCATTAATAGTAAACAACTATCATCGCCACCCCTGCAAGAGAATGGAATTCGCTGTGAAGAAACAATTTTTGTTCAGACTTCAAGTCCAGTTGCTGTTGAAAACACAGCTAAATAGTTAGGATCTGTTTTGAATTTTCCTTTTAGTTTTTATCTGTTTTTCATGTCTGATATGTACTTGTTTGATACGCAAATAGCAGTCTAACAGAATGAGCTCAGCTTTTATGATAACTTTTAATAGAAACAGTATTCATTGTATTTTTTAGAATGCAAAAAAAACTTTCTATTTAATTTCTAAGCTAAAAAATGCTTTTGAAAACATTTAGTCTTTCTTCTTTTCGTGAAGGTTTATTTTAATCATGCACGTACACTGTACTATATTTTTCGTCTATCTTTGTTTCTCGCTATAAAAAGAACCAAAATACACCCTGTATTTTTCTTTTATATTCTGTGATCTTAAAATAAAATCAAAGGTGGTAGTATACGGTTGAATATCTTTCTCTGTACACTGCGTATAAAGATATCTTATTTACTAAATGTTTATCTTTGTTCGTTATCTGCTCTATTGTTGTTGTTTTGAACTCAGTAAACATAACGAAATACTGCATTAGGCAGTCTAAAGGAAGAAGCGAATGATTATGGTACATCTGCCTGATTTCTAGAGAAAACTCTCAGACTCTTCCTCTGATAGAAGGAAAATAAAGTCTGAAGTTTAACAGGACTTTGCGCTCCGAGATAGTTAGCAGAGACGAAAGGATAAATTTATCTTCTTAACGAGAAAGCTTGTTATTGTCGGGAATAGTTTTCATTGATATACTAAACTAATATAATGATTTTTTTTCGAATTTTGATCTTTTATCAGTATTTACTTAATAGTCACTCATCAGGGATAAGTGATAAACAGTTTGTCTTTTAAATACATTCTCTAATGCGTTACAGGTTTTCAAATCTTAAAGGAAAATTTCACATTTTTTATCCGACCAAGCAACACTACAAGTTTTTTTTATATGGCATTTAAATATTCGAATATCTGTTTAAAGAATACGGATAACATTTATTCCAACATTTAGTAAAATCCTATTAGTTAGTATATGTAGGCAATAGTTTGATAAGGAAGCGAAACTGAAAATGTTTTTTATAATAGTTTTAGATTACTTTAGTTCCGTTCATTTTTATTTTGAAATTTGATAGAGAAAACAGCATTGACATAATACACGTGTCGCCGAATTGTCAAGAAAAAAGAATTTGTTAACGAGATCAATCTTCATTGATCCTCTTGGGTCTTCACGTATCATTTATGCCACCTTATATGTCATTATTTCAAGTAGCATTAAAATTTAAATATTCTCTACCAGATCTCATAATGTTAGATTTAATTATCGAAAATACAATTTATTCTATTACGTTTACTACAATTCTTATTTTACATTCCTGTAAGTCTCCTGTGAACTATCTGCTATAATTACAATATATAATTTTTAATACATTTAGTAATAGAACGTAAACCGTGATATAAATTGTGATATTATTATTAGAGGAAATGTATATAAGTGGTTCTGGTGATCTTTGTACCGTTCAATCTAAGCTAATGGACCTGCATGGTTCTCCGTTAATATTAAATCAAACTTTTGGAAACTTATGTCATTTTATTCCGGATACTTTACTCTAAGATCTCTTTTCTGTCTTATTTCCTTAGTGTACAGTAAGCAAAACACTCTGCTTTTTGGTTCTTTTTCCCTTCTTTTCTTAGTGGTTCTTGCACCTTCTTTTTTTTTAATTAACATTTTTCTTCTCTTAGGGGAGGCAGAACAAAACTTTTTTTACTTTTTTACTCATATAGTTCGACTAAGAGTTGAACACAGAGCATTAATTCTTCAGTTCATGAGTTATCACTTAATTAACGAGATAGTCTAACACATATAAATCCTACTTTTTGATCGATCCATAGTGGAAACATTTTTAAAAATACACTCGGCATGAAACGCTAATGATAACGTGAAATTATGTTATTCAGATGAAGATATGATCCTCTGGATTTAATATTTAGTCGAGACATGCCACGCTTTCAATACTGGCGTCAACTAAAAAGGCGGAGAGTAATAATAACCAAGAGATCAATTATTTAAGAAAATTTTATGAAAAAAATTTCATCGGTTTATTAAGGTAGACATTACATTATTGTACTTAGGGCTGACCAAAAGTTCGTAGAACAATAAATAAAGAGCCCTGTCGAATAAGATGACTGTCTCAATTGCAAAACCAAATGCATCATCGTGTAGAGCTTTTCAAGGCACATTGAATGGTATATAAGAAATCTATTTTCGAAGTTCATAGGGAGCTAGATCGAGTTTACTGATGGCAGGACAGGATCCACAATTGTGATAAATAGCTACTCAGTGCTCATCCACATTGTTAGTCGATGGACTCCATAAAAAATATTTCCTACATACAGTTGTATAAAGTCTTTGATGGGCTACAATTTGATATATTTCACATCTTCAGTTATCTAATGTTTGAGAAAAAAAGATGATTACCTATCTGGATTGATAGCACTTTTACCACAATTGTGGATC